TTTCAAAACCAAACTGGATAATTCTGACAGGTCGTCAAAAATCCACCTTCCATGAATTTCGAAGCGATTGTCTGTTAAAGCAGGGCAATGACAGAGAAAATGTTCTACGGATCCTTCCTCTTCTTCAATGTGGCAGCTTATGCAGAAGTCGTTGTAGGGTGTGCCAAATCTTCTTGCATGGTGCCCAAATAAACAGTGCAATGTGATGACAGCAATTAGATTGCCGAGATTAGGACGACATAATTGAAGGAGACATGACGTGCGTTTACTATATAAATTTGGCCATATCTTCCTGGTAATAGAGCAAGTTGTTTCGTTGTACCATCATTCCTGGGAAAGTTGTAGTGGAATGCCGCAAAAGATGTCTATGTCCCTATCGGACAGTGAGGCGTCTATTTTTGCTAATTCATTAGCTACACAGTTGCCAATCAAATGCCCGTGTCCCCATTTGAGCATGACTGTAAGGATGCCCGGCATTCCTGGACTAGTATGTATGTATTAGTGTATGCACCAATCAGAGATTTGATAGCAGCCTAACTATCGATATAAATTTGAATATCTCTATTTCAGCTTGTTCTACATTCATTCTATATTCTAAAACTTATCCTGATTCCAAATTCAGGGATGAAAATGCCACCTCCACTTGCTTTCCTTTTTGGGAACCGTCAGTATACACCGAAAGAGTTCTCGGAGAGTTGTCTTCCTCCAGTGCAGAGTTTTCAGAGATAGTATAACTGAAGTTTCCGTGTAGTTGGTGCAGTAGGAGAGAATTAGACCCATATTTACCCTTATAAATTTTAGTAGAGAGATTTACTTTAAAGTATTTATACAGAATTACATGGTGGCACTGCTGTTTATACGTGAATTATTGGCCTTCAAGTCCTTATTTGAAGGGGACTTTGTATGGGGACTATGTGGCCCGATCATTTTGAAAATCGATAGTATCATTTAGTCTTATATAAAACTAAGTTATAGCGATAACTGTAGTGATATTAGAACATTTAACAAGATAAAAAACCCCATTCGGGGGTACGGTTGTTTGGGGGCAAAGTGAAATACTTAGGCCTAGAGAAGAGTATATGAATCTAATTATCTGGCATACGAATAAAGCTTAATCGACTCAAAAATTGATTTGAAGTCGATTGCTATAATAGGTACAAAAGAATTATTTATTCTTTATTTCATGACAAAAAAAAACCTATTCAACGCAGAAAAGTATACTCCGCTAACTGTGTTCAAAATGTGTTGGCCTGTGTTTATTTACTTTAATACATATATTTTGTCCTTTTTTCATCCTTGAAAAAAACTGTATGTAATTTGTTTGGCATTTGTTTTATTTTTGTAATATTTATTTTTTTTTGATATTTTCGTTGTTTCGAAATGAGTTTGAGTCAAAAACAAAAATCATTCATAAACATAGTTTATTTTATTAATATTTTTTTTGTCTAACTTTTCAAAAACACAATCACAATGATGCTTGACAAATACATACATACATATTTCCAATTCTATTTTAGTTTTTTTTTTTTTTTAATATTGACATTTAACTTACAAGTGCAAAATTTCACATAGCAATCCACTGAGTTTTTATATGTTTTTTTTTTGTTTATTTTGTTAGTGTTTACAAAAAAATAAATAAATAAACCCATACATACATATGTACATCTTTACAGACTTACATTGAACAGATAAAGAATTTGTTAAATTCTTTATATAATTTCAACATATTCAGAAAACTGTGTGTAAAAAGATGACGTTGAAAACTGGTATAAATTTTTAAACAATTTTTTTTTTATATTTATTGATCCGCTTTATTACGCAGTTAGAACAATTTATTGGAAACCTTTTCATACAATAATATTGTTGATTAATTTTGTGGTTTTATATAAAATACGTAAGTAACTTCTTTTATGCACAATAAACGAGGATAAAACTGAAAATCTTTAGAAACTTTCTTTTTCTTAAATAGTTTAATTAAGTTAAGGTATGTTTACACCTATTAAATATTTAATAAAAATGGCGTGACCCATAACAAAATTTAAAATTTTCTTTAAATCTATAATATTTACGCAAACTTAATATAGCTTTTTGAAAGTTATCACTTTAGATAACTTCATTACAAAATCGATCGAATCAAAAAAAAAAATATTTGCAAAAAATATTGGTTACGTTTTTTTCACCAATTATTTTCTAGATGTGAACGTGTCATTATTTTACTAAATTTTTTAAACATGCCTTACTTTGTTTGTAACTTTTTATATTATTTATTTTTATTTTTTTTTTTCTTGTTAAATTCTTTATTAATTGTTAAGGCTTTGATTTAATTTTAACAATTTCAAATTAAGTGTTTTCTGTCACTTACTGGATTATTTTGAAAATAATTGCATTTCAAGATAAAATATTAATGCCAAAAAAAGTGTAATACTTATTAAAATATTAATTGATTGTTTATTTGCAAATCTTTGGGGATAAAAATAAAACGTAATTTATTAAAATAAAAAAAAAATAATAATAATTAAAATTTACTACTTCTGAAGAACAAAATCAATATCAAGGTTAACCTAGGTTATTTATTGTAAAAGCTAATTCAGGGGAAGTCGAACAAAGTATAACACTGATGTATTTATATGCAGTTTTTTAAAACTAAAACTCTTCAAGTTGGAATCAGAATTTTCATTCGAAAAAATTTTCTTATAATCGAAGAAAAATTATAAATTTTTGTTTCAATGACAGCAAACTTTTAATTTGGATAAAAATCGCAAGCTCGGTTAATTTGTTTTTAAGGCTGAAATATTGAAAAATCACTAAAAACATTCAGTTAATATTTCATTAATTCCTTTTATAAAAAATGGTCATCATTAAAAAGTAACAGCTTAAGCTTAACAGCTTAACAGCTTTGTTCCATTTCCAAGATTTTATTGATTGTTTCCCATTTTTTTTTTAACGAATGGCTCGGACGATATTAGCCCTTATGGTTTGAATTGTTTACGAATTATTTGCATATAATCAATATTTAAAGGAAAACAAACTGCAGCTTTCAAAAGGTAACATGATAACTTTTTTGTAATAAAAATATATTTTACAAAAATTACTTGTACTTTTTAGAACTATTGCATTTTTTGCTCCAAATATATTTCTGTTTATTAAAGTGTTCCGAAGAACATTTTTAGGAATCTCATGTAGAAATACCACTCAATACTACTAATGTACGGTTGAAAATACTAACCGCAGTATAATTTGCAAAAAAAAAAAAAAAAAATATCTCCAATTTTTTTTAATTAGTCTCGAAAATTGCCTAATTTTGGGCTAATTACAGTAAAAGTTATTTAAAATTGTTTAGAGTATTTTTGATCAACAAAATGATTTTAGTGGGTTTATCTATCTATCTATCTATCTATCTATCTATCTATCTATCTATCTATCTATCTATCTATCTATCTATCTATCTATCTATCTATCCATCTATCTATCTATCTATCTATCTATCTATCTATCTATCTATCTATCTATCTATCTATCTATCTATCTATCTATCTATCTATCTATCTATCTATCTATCTATCTATCTATCTATCTATCTATCTATCTATCTATCTATCTATCTATCTATCTATCTATCTACCTATCTATCTATCTATCTATCTATCTATCTATCTATCTATCTATCTATCTATCTATCTATCTATCTATCTATTTATCTATCTATCTATCTATCTATCTATCTATCTATCTATCTATCTATCTATCTATCTATCTATCTATCTATCTATCTATTTATATATCTAGTTAATTTTCCTACAACTTTTTTTCACAAAAATATACTCAAACAAATTCACGTTTTTCTTTTAATTGTATTAAAATTTAAATAAATATTTATGTTCTTATGAAAAACATACAGATATTATTGCAGTTTGTTTATAACGTAAATTATATTATTTTATACTTTTGCTCTTTGTCGCAATAATTTTACAGTGAAAATAAATTTTGTTTTTATTATTATCACAAGTAGAATTAAATATAAAAATAAACATGACATATAATTTGAATCTAGATAATTTATTTTTGCAGGCAATGAAAAAGGAGACAACTTCAATTTGTTACAAAAGAAAAAAAATACTTTTAAATTGATCCCAGCATAAAATAATTGATGTCATTCTTTACAAACGACATCTTAATCACATCTAAAAATGCGATTGCATACTTTTCGTTTTTATAAACCAAACAAACATATCCTTAGAAATGAAAATACAGTTAAAAATGGGGAAAGAGATGTAGAAAAGTCACTATAAACAACATATTCGAAGTACTTCAAATTTAGATGAAAAACCAATGAAATTTACATAAGCGTTTCATTGAAAGAATGTGGTTTATTTTTGACATACAAATATCGGATTTTTACAGCTTCTACAGATAAGATTAGATTTAGTTCAAAGTTTTCAAAAATTAACAACATCCCTACAATGACACGCTAATGTAAAATTCATAGGTTTTTAACCTGAATTTGAAGCACTTCGGGTTACTAGTTGTGATGAAAATTCTACATATTTTTCCACACAGTTTTTTGCTGGGGATATAAAAGATTTAGTCCTGCTGTGACTTATAATATAGTATATAGAATTATGGCACATAAATCATAATAAGGGTCTGAAATTTTAAGATCAAATTCTTTTAAAAAAATTTTCATTTAATATAAAATAAATTAAAACAAAATTAATCCCTAGTTTCATAAATGATTATTAAAGTTATCACGGGTTTATTAAAGGAACTTTGTTTGAAAACAGTTTAATAAATCAAAAATAAATCATTGTTAACTTTATGAATACTGAGACAAATAATTAACATTCATCAGGCCAAATGAATTGTTAATTCAAAAAAAAAAATTACCAAAAAAAGTATACATTTTTACGATTTTATATAAAAAAACGTGTTAACACGCTTAAAACAAAATTTCAAAACGTGCCAAAATAAGGCAGATGTGAAAAAAGTTAATTTATATTTACCTCAAATATTAGAGAATGCTGCTGAAAAGAGAAGAAAAAAATAAAAAATAAATTATTATATTTTTATATAAATAATAAACCGTAAAAAGTAAAAAAAATTATATGAGTTTAGAAATTTAGGAATTAAAAATGTGTTAATAAATTCAATATCACAAGAAATCAATTTTTAAAATTTAAAAGTAGTCTAACTAAGTTATGTTATGTCTTTTTCCTGGAAGCTGCTTAAGAAATAAATTATTTATTTTTATACATATGTATGTGTTTTTTTTTTTATTTTAATTTATCTCTTATAGTTATTATTAAAATGTTTATTATTATTATAAATTGTGACGCATTTTTTATTATTTTATTTGTTTATGCTTTTAACACCAAAATTTTAACGTCATAGTATGACGTTTAACTTAAACTAATGCTTTTTTAAACTTTAACAGTTATTTAAAATAAGAAAACAGAGAATAAATGAATAAATGAATGAAGAAAACCTATATTGATCACTATATAAGGGTTTTGTTTTTACTAAAATTTTCCATGAAAAAGAGCGGACATCAGGCCCGATAGCTTCGGATTTGTTGTAGTACACATCCTACTATTAACCTAACCTAACTAATTAAAACTTCCTTTACAATTAAGCAAGCATTTCGGGAATTGAAAACAAAATGAAGTTTATTACTATTTTAGTTATTATTATTTTATAACTATAATGTATAAAAACTTTCTATTGTTATATACATATAACTTTGGTTTACTTTAGTTTACGCATTAATAATTGACATTGAATTTAAATAAGTAAAAAAACAACAAAAAGCAAAAATTCAAAATATATAAAACAAAATAAAAATTTGCATAATTTTCACATCAAATCTGAAAAAAATAATAATAAGGTATAAAAACAATAAATATTTTTCGCAGAATAAACAGCAAAAAAAAACAAGTTGTATTTGTGGGGTGTCAACTGAGAGAAAAATCGTATAATACAACAGTATTATTAAAAAAAATTAAACAAATTTATGGCTGTTATATTAACAAATTTGCTTAGAGTAGAGTTTAATTAATTTCTAAGAAAAATTTTAACATACAAATCTATTTGTTATGATTTATTTTTTTTATTTATATAAAACACCTTAACATCGATATGATGTTAATGTTTTATACCAACTTAACGGTGGGTTTATAATTTAAATAGTTATATATTTTTTAAATTAAAAACTACAACAAAATTCTTTATAAAAAAATGTAAATACATTTTGTATAAATGCAAATAAATTCGTTGATATTTATCTTGGGTAGTTAAACTTTTTATGATGACTACTAAATCGTTTTTTTGGTAGACCGTAATAAACATGATTTATCTATTTTTATTACAATTTAAGAATTTTTGTTTTTTTTTTAGAACAACTTTATTTAAAAATCTATTAATTGAATTTGGTTTGATGGTATGATTGTTTTTTTTTTTTCTTTGATCAGCTGTACTCTGGTTTTTACTTCGACAGTGGCGGTAAATAGCAAGCACGGATGGTACAACTGAAGAGTGATTATTTCCTGAATATAGACTAGACTATAGACTGGAATATACAGACTATAGACTAGACTATAGACTGGAATATACAGACTATAGACTAGACCATAGACCAGACTGTAGATTAGGCTACAGACTAGACTATAGACTAGACTATAGACTAGACTATAGACTAGACTATAGACTAGACTATAGACTAGACTATAGACTAGACTATAGACTAGACTATAGACTAGACTATAGACTAGACTATAGACTAGACTATAGACTAGACTATAGACTAGACTATAGACTAGACTATAGACTAGACTATAGACTAGACTATAGACTAGACTATAGACTAGACTATTGACTAGACTATAGACTAGACTATAGGACTAGACTATAGACTAGACTATAGACTAGACTATAGACTAGACTATAGACTAGACTATAGACTAGACTCTAGACTAGACTAGACTATAGACTAGACTATAGACTAGACTATAGACTAGACTATAGACTAGACTATAGACTAGACTATAGACTAGACTATAGACTAGACTATAGACTAGACTATACTAGACTATAGACTAGACTATAGACTAGACTATAGACTAGACTATAGACTAGACTATAGACTAGACTATAGACTAGACTATAGACTAGACTATAGACTAGACTATAGACTAGACTATAGACTAGACTATAGACTAGACTATAGACTAGACTATAGACTAGACTATAGACTAGACTATAGACTAGACTATAGACTAGACTATAGACTAGACTATAGACTAGACTATAGACTAGACTATAGACTAGACTATAGACTAGACTATAGACTAGACTATAGACTAGACTATAGACTAGACTATAGACTAGACTATAGACTAGACTATAGACTAGACTATAGACTAGACTATAGACTAGACTATAGACTAGACTATAGACTAGACTATAGACTAGACTAGACTATAGACTATAGACTAGACTATAGACTAGACTATAGACTAGACTATAGACTAGACTATAGACTAGACTATAGACTAGACTATAGACTAGACTATAGACTAGACTATAGACTAGACTATAGACTAGACTATAGACTAGACTATAGACTAGACTATAGACTAGACTATAGACTAGACTATAGACTAGACTATAGACTAGACTATAGACTAGACTATAGACTAGACTATAGACTAGACTATAGACTAGACTATAGTCTAGACTATAGACTAGACTATAGACTAGACTATAGACTAGACTATAGACTAGACTATAGACTAGACTATAGACTAGACTATAGACTAGACTATAGACTAGACTATAGACTAGACTATAGACTAGACTATAGACTAGACTATGGACCAGAGGTCTACTGACAACTATGTGGACTATTTATAAAAAGTTTATAAGTCAGAAAAAGTAGCGAAAAAGGCGTGGAGGTACCGCTGTATTTTCGATATCGAAAAGTGCTATATTACTGAATTTCCCATGCCTGTTTTGTAGTCTAATTAGGATATAATATTTGGTAAAACAAGGGTTAAACAAGAAAAAAAAGAGGAGAAAACTAAATTTTTGAAAGAGATGCCAGGCCGTATTCTCCATCGAATTGTTCTTCAGTTAATCGTTTTCGACCCACGAAATAGATAACTTGTCAATAACCAACTTATTTAAATTACATGCATGCTACTGACTATTACAAAATTTAATTATTTTCGTTTAAACGCTATAACGTAATAACATAAATTATTTATAATATTCAAATAATTTATTCCTAACTTTTCTCTCTTAATACTTAAAATGTAAAACGCTGACAATCAATATTTATTTTATATTTTATTAATTTGCATAAATTAACTGCACTTGATTTTTCTTGTTAATATGCAATTTGAAACAAGTAGAAAAGTATAGTCGGGCATGACGGAACATATGATACCTTACACTAGTTAGGAGGAATATATTTAAAAGAATATGATTTTTTTATAAAAAAGCATTTATGTTGAAGCAATTTATTGATGAAAAATTGATTTGCCAAATGGAGGCTTTTTATGGGGCTAGGGTCAAATATGGGTCGAGCCTGATTCGATTATTTGGGGGCTAGTTGATATAATGCACCGATTTCAACCATTTTGAATAGGCATGCGCGTATGTTCCAAATTTCATCAAAATCTCTTGAAAATTGCGGTCGGTTGTTGACTGTAAGTTGACTGTATAATATATTTGTGCGTTATAAACATCAGCCCAAACGCACAATACCCATATAGTGGTGTAGGGTATAAAAAGGTACAATAATTAAACATTTTGTTTTAACTAGAATTTCAATATGTTTTATTTGCTGGATTAACTTATGACGTCCGATTAATTATTTTCTCAATTGTCTAGTTGTGTACTTTAGTTAATTAACATTTTTTTTCACTTATTAATTTTTATAAAAGTTCAATTTCCTTAGAAATTAATAAAATTTCGACTAAAATCAACAGCAGCGCACATCAATATTGTTGTGATTAATAACAGATTTCATTCATTGCTGTGAAATAACATTAAATTTGTAATATTACAGGGGGTTGAATGGGTTAAACTTAAATGATTGCACGAGATTTGGGGAGGAAAAATCTGATTATTTTTAGCTAGAATTATTCTTTAGAATTATTTTTGCTGAAGCTTAAACGTGCATGACAAAATCAATAAGTTTCAATAGAAAAGTCTCGGCAATAGAATGTTTTCAAGAGAAAATTTATTGAATTTTATGATATTATATTCCATATAAAATGATATCGGAAGGACATTCAAACTGGAAGGTCGTTTGACAATTTTCTATAATTGAGAAATTTATTGAAAATTAAAACTTCAAAACCATCTATCGGATAAATTTATAACTTCTCACGATCCCTGTAACATGTATATTTGAAATTTTGTACTATTAGGTCCCGCAGTTCCTGAGTTTATCTATTACGAACAATCATAACTCTTTTATTTATATAGAGACCTTTTAGATAGCGGATTCGATTTAACCATGTCCAACGGTCCATGTGTATGTTGAAATCAGTTTCGTTCTTCAAAAAGTACTTTTTGAATTTTTACAAAATTGAACCTAGAAACATAAAATTAAACATTCAGAGTCCTAAGTGAATGAAAATCTATAGGAAATGAATTTGATACTTTTTCGTTCTTCAACTGGTACTTTTTGGTTTTTCTGCAATAACACTGATTAAATGAAAATATCGAAAAGGGGACTTTCTGGTAAGTACTTTTCTATCTTTCAAATGGTACTTTTAGTATTTTCTGAACTATTGTACCTGGGAACATAAAATCATACATATTCGATCCTGATCCTGGTACTTTTTCGTTCTTCAACTGGAACTTTTTGAATCTTTATGGAACCTAGAAACGCAAAATTAGCAGGAAGCAAACTGATAGAATAAAAATTTAAAAAGTGGAACATCTAAAAAAGGGGACTTTTAATTGTTTTTCGTTATTCAATGGTACTTTTTTGAATTGGAACCTTTGTATTATTGAA